GGGAGGGCTCAAGGGGCAGTCTGCTCCTGTAATTTGCTGCATTAGGTATGAATTTGATGGAGGAGACTGCGTACACCTAAATGCTGCAGCGGAAGACCTCCTGGAGCAGCAGGAAGTGAGGAGCGCAATTCACTTTGCCTACACTCCAAATGAATTATGGTGTTTTTAGTTCTTTTAGAAGGGTGCCCTCAAAATGAAGCTTTTAAAGTGTATACTGCTTGCTTACTACTGTTTGCGCCCAACGTGTCCTGTTTGAACGTAGCCAAAAGGCGCTTGCGTGGGCAACAGATGCTCTGAAATAGCTCTCTGTGAAGCCTACGAAGACACATCTGATGAAGGAAGAGGGCAGCATCTCGAGAGCCACATCAAAACAAAGCCTCATTCAGAGAACTCTGAAGGAAAGGAGGCGGAGGGAATGCCCGTCAGATCAGAACCTCAGGCAAGACGCGGTTTACTAGTTGTGCACCGGCGTGGGTCAATATCCATTAGTAGTGGCTGCTGCTTTTTAGCCAAACAGACTAAGCACGTGAAAGCAATGAAACGTAACATAAATTTAGAGCGCGAGGCCGCAAGTTGGTATTTGGAAAGACGAGATGAATATGTTCGACTTTGTTCTCCGGATGTCGACTGAATTAGTAAAAGCGAGAGGCAGCAGCGTTGATGATTCCTGTCCTCTGCAAGTGTTTTGCACATTTTCAGGAAACGCCATTAGTGGCAACTATTTGGGAGGGTCCGAGAGGACGTTACGTCTGCAGGTAACTTGGAAAATGATTATATCAGATTTCTCACACTGGGACGCAATGTGGATGAACACTAGCGGCTTATCGAGTCAAAGGCAAACATCTGCATCACTATAATGTATTTGGGTAGAATCTCTGATGCAAGAGGTGTTCTTGGAGCTAGCTTTGAATTTCCCCTTTGCAGTTTTTGCCTGAGCGCCCGCGCAGGTGCCCAAAGGGCTACACTGGAGATGGGACCTCTTGCGAAGATATCGACGAGTGTAAGGTCTTCGAGGAAGCAGTCTGCCACGCCAAGGCCATATGCATCAACACCAAGGGCAGTTACAGGTGCCTATGCAAGGTGGGCGCGCCAACTCAGCTCCTCTGCCATCTTATTCCCATAACCAGCAAAGACTAATGCTTCTTATTCTGACACAAAAAGCAAAGCGTAATGTTTTTCACTCTGGTAGAAATATCACAGAATAACGTGTGCCCCTGCTAAATCCTTTCGTGAAGGTGAAAGTTCCAATCGAACCTTGTGGATCGAACACAGCCAGTTTCAACGCACAAAACGACGGCCAAGTTCCAAATATTTTGTCTCGTTTGTGTGTTGATTTTGCGTGCATGCCAGCCTGGATACACCGGCGACGGCAGAGATGTCTGCATGTACGTTCTGTCTTCACTCGAAGCTTGAAACTCCCACATGAAACGAATCAACTTGTGAACAAACATTAGACAGCACTGAATTCTTTTCAATGTTTTCTGTAAAAGTACTAACATTTTCAGTCTAGCCCGAACAACGAACGTTTTCAAGAAGCAAATTCTGCATCGTCTATGGATTTGCGCAGCTTTGGATCCTCCTCGTTCCTTTGCAAGCTAGGTATTGTCAGAATGAATTTACTTCATGCGTAAGCAGCTGGATAGTCAAGAAGTGAGTTTCAAGCGCTGCGATGTGTGTTCAGGCCCAGCAACCAGAGCTACAGGTAAGGTGAGAGTGCAGCTTTTGCTTTCAGCAAGAAGTAGGGCGTTCACTATCTGGCTGAGCAAGCCTTCTTTTGCTCTATAGTGCACCATTACTTTGTACTGGTCTCTAGTCCTAATGCTTGCCTGCGGAGATCCTTTTTGTTGCGGCTTGTGGCAGCGTCCGCGAGCCTCTTTGCGTAGACTCGAACAACCGCCCTCTGTGTCCTCCTACACTTCACTGCCTAGCTGACGGGTCGTGTGGCTGTCGGGAGGGTTACACGATGGATAAGTAAGGTTTTCAGATTCGCGATCAGGGAGAAAAGGCTGTTCGAAGTGCTCTCCAGCGCACAAGCATAAAAATTGTAGAAAGGAGAAGCGCCGCCATAGTGCAAATGCATTTATAAAGGTTTTACTCCTTCGTTGCGTGTATCTTTGCCAGCGGAAGTTGCATCGATATCGACGAGTGCTCTTCCGGACTCGCAAGCTGCGCCTCTCCCTCCATCGCAACTTGTGTTAACACAAGTGGGGGATATTTCTGCAGTTGTGTTGATGGGTATGAAGGTGATGGGCGCCAGTGCGTCGCCAGCCCCTCCACAGCTGAGGCAGAAATTTCTATTGCTATGGACTACCATAAAACAGTTGCTGCTGCGGGAGGTATCCAACTGCTTAAAGAAGCACTGATTGACGCAATCTTGCAGGTACGTTTGCCCGGCCGCAAGCCTGTTTAAGGCAGGGCGGGTTAGGGTTTACGATGTAGGATTTTGCGGTTCATGCTTAAAAGCTTAGATTTCAGGTTTTAGCGTCTACAGTTAAGGGCTTGAGAATTTCATAAGTGAGAGCTCCAGGGCTGTACCCGTCACTTCCCTTGTTCAGGGGGCACATTCAGGTTCTTGTAGTGTCAGAGTCAGCCCCACACTAGGAAACGGGAATTTTCGAAACCAGATCAACGCGAAAAAACCAATTAGAATCAACAACGTGGGGAAGCCGATTACGTCAGGCAAAATATGTCCAGCGCAAATGCAACATGAACCTGTCTTCTGCTTTTTCATGCTTTTCCGCTCAGGCAATCCCAGGGCTGGGCGACAGGAAACGCATTGAAGTCTTGAGTATTTACGAAGGAAGCATCAATGCTGTTCTTCGGATTCATCCTCCGGTGGCGGATGGACCAGCCTCCTCTGAAGGATCAGATAGCCCCCGGCAGCTCACAGCGGCTGAAGCTCTGCTAGCTCTCCAGGAGCAGCTCGAGGAACCACTTTCAGTCCTCAGGACAGGACCTTTTGGGGAATACGCTGCATACGCTACAATAGGTGCGTTGACACGCAAATGCGTCGCTCCAGGAACAGATATGTGAAGAGACCAGTCATTTCTTGTTGTTCATTTCCCTGAAGCCACCAGAAAGCATTTCCTATGTGCCATGTGTGACTTTGCCGCAGAGCGGTATACCTTCCTAGATCGTTCATCAGCCAACACGAACTTTGACTTGCTTGCGTTTTTAACTGACTGGCTGCCGGAGTGGCTGAAAGACTCTGTACCGAGAGAATTACTCGCTGCATTAGAGTTACTGTTGCTCTTAATATGCATTGCCGTCGTGGGCTTGGGTCTAAGACGCGCAATAAAAAGGTAGGCTTTCCCTTCGATCGCATTTCAGCTCTACATGCTACCACGTGATATTTTAGCTCAGCTTCATGAAACTTGCGTTCTCGTTCAGTAGCTGCGGCACAGTTTCGCACTACTAATCTTCTGCCCCGTATCTATTAGATCAATAGAACTGCTTGCTACAAGTTCGTGTTGCGGAAGCTTTTAGCAGTTCTGTGCTGCGCTGTTTGTATCCTCCTGCCGATAGGTCCAGGAGAGGGTCAGCAACTCCTGCTGCGCGGCATCGGGTCAGGCCCCGACGTGGTTCCTAATCTCCTCTTAATGTGTTTCAAAGCCGCTTCTTTAGGAGCTCCTGCAGCTGCCGCTAGTACAGAGTAACGCTGTAGAGCAGAAACTGCAGCCGGGACGTACAGCCCATGCAGTTGCATAGCGCTTATCGTTTAACTTCAAAGGTAAGCTGGAGATTCGCACTGAACAGGTAAGCTGCGTATGCCGGACCCACTTTACTGTTGCAAGCCGCGCGTATGAGAGCCGCAACGCTCTCAAACCGCTGCCTTACAGGCTCTGAGGCTAGGACGCTGTTCTTGTTCCTCCTGTGAAACTCGGTGCCAAGCTCGCACGTTCTGTAGTGAGAAGAGCCCCATGGATGCTCCAGTGCAAGTCTTGTCACTCATGAACATTCCTAATTCCGTCTATCAATGTGTCATTTGACAGTTAACTACCCTGAAGAAGCAGTCGCTTTAATCATGGTAGCAGTCGAAGACGGACAAGCTCAGTCATGAATTCGAACATAAGGGCTGAGTTAATGGTTCAGTCAAAGTTGCTGGTAAAGAGTCTGAGTGTGTAGTTTAGCAGTTACAGATTACTTTGTACAGTTGCTGCCCAAGCAGTGGTTGCTGCTTTAGCCATGCCGCCTTCCCGTCAATAAGGGGCCCACTCGGCAGCAATATTAGTACTTCGTTTGTATCTAAATAGTTTCAGCTGCCTTTTTGGAATATTCCAATGAAAGATGAGCATTCATGCGGTGAGCGTTTGCTCTCCAGTGGCTGGCAAGGCGACACCGAACGGCACCAGCTGCCTTTGCCGCCAGAATCATTCTTCTTTAAAGAGTGAACAAAATCCATAATGCATGATATAAAAGCACTATTCCGAGTTACACGTAGCTTCAACAGCTACTTTAAGTTGCTGCCGATGGAACCTTCGAACAGCAGCGGGTCTGCCAACACCAGGCTTCTTGAACGCATGCCTGCTGCACGCCGCGGCACAGTCTGTTTCGCGATGAATAAACAGCCAAGATTAAAAAGTATATTTTACAGATTTATTCAAGACGTGTTCGATGGAAGTGTGCAGTAGAGGGGGTCTGTTCTGTGTAGCCTCGTGGGGAGGCAGCTGCGTAGCGTGAGGAATGTTTTCCAGTTTTGTCTTGCGGCTTTGGCGGGAAACGCGGTCGAATAGTGGGATTTCCTTCGCGTTTTCAACTCCAATGCCATTGTGACAGCGTCATTCAGGAAGCATTCCCGACGATCACCTCAGCGGTCTGCGCTCGAGGTGTTCAAGGGTTTTCAGTGTCTTGCACTGCACCCGCGTGGGGCGAACGGAGCAGCACATGTCCAAATCCGGATCATGCAATGCGAGCAGCAGCAGCGAGCTTCCTAAGAACCTGCGGACTGGACTTAGAAGGCACCAGCAGCGCGAGCTGTGCAGCAGCTAGCGGCGACGAAGATGCCGGCGGATCCGCAGGGAAGCAGCTCGCAGTGGACTTGGGCTGAAAGCCACGGAACTTCTGCTCCTTGGAAACCCCTAGGAGAGTCCGAGACGAAGCTTCTAGACCATGCTTACCGCGAGTCTTGGGGCCGCCTCGAGCTCGACATAGAGGGAAAGCCGTACGTCATAGATCCTTTTTTTCTGGATGCAGAGGCGCATTTTGCGGCGCCGCTGCACAGCGACGCAGAGCCCGGAATATTCATAGCGCGGGCCTTTGGCTCTGCTGCTCAGCAGCTCTTTGCCGCTCCGCATGCCCAGGAGCCCAGCAGCAGCAGCAGCAGCAGCAGCTGTTCCGCTGCGGCCGCGGAGAGCCGCTGCCCACAAACTGCTGCAGCGTCGCAGCCCGCAGTGCGCCGGCGCTCCTCCTTCTGCTGGAACGCAGCAAGCTGCTGCAGCTCAGCAGATCGGCAGCAGCGGCTCCGAAGCCAACCCCACGTACGGTGCCTCCCCGAGCTGCTGCTGCGGAGCTGCAAATGCATTATTTGGCCTATTTGGACCTTTTTATTCTTCAAATATGTCGATTTGAAGCTCTTAAATGCTTCAAAACTGCTTAATCGAGGCCTCAGATCGGTCTGCTGCCGCTGCCGTCGTGTTCTGAAATTCAGGAAACTACAGATGCTGAGGGCTTCCAGCTCGTGCTTCCCAGGCGCCACAGAGGCCGCCGAGAAAGTGAGGTTTTGCAAATAAAGAAATCTCAAGAAATGTTATTTCCTCTTGGGAATTTTATTTGCTCTTTCCCGGTGCTGGCCTGAAAGAGGTGTTCGTTTTGCACTGAAATGTGTCTAAACAAGTAAATATATACGTACATGTATGCATATACATATGTATATTGAAATACATGCGCATATATGCATATATATCCATATATATCCATATATATATATGTGTGTGTGTGTACAAATCTATTTGCCGGTGTTGTGTGCATGCATGAATTTGGCAGCATTAGCTAGTTGCACATGTTTCCCTAGCTAATTGTACATGTTTCTAAAGTATTATCTGCATGTGTTTGCCTCTGACTGCATGCAATATTCGCCGCTGCGGCTTTTTAGGCCATGGGGCCTCCACTGCGGACTGTGGGGCCCCGCGGGACTCCGTCGCTCGTTGGCGGGCCTTTCCCAAAGTTGATCTTGCGGTGAGGATTTTTCTCCCCAGCTGCAGCAGCAGACCAGTTGCTGCAGCAAAGCCTTTGCAAAGCTTTGTTGGTTTTACTGCCTTTCTTTTTAGCCCCCCATGCTGCACTGAGAGGCCAAGCCCCAGCGGCTGCAAGCACCCGCAGAGCCCCGAAACGTCTGCATGCATGCATGTATGCATGCGTGCTTGCATGCATGCATGTATGCGCGCATGGACATGCATGTGCAAGCGCGTGAACACTTGTGCAAGCGTGTGCATGCATGTGCATGCATGTACTATCCACATGCATATCATGCATGTGCATGCATGTACGCATGCTTGCGTGCATGCATGCATGCATGCATGCATGCATGCATGTGCATGCGGGACAGTGCACAGTGGCGCTGCAGGCCTGCGACGACTACCACCTGGTTCGGCAGGTGCTGATTGACGGAGTGGACACGGCGCTGCAGCACGGGGGCCGACGGCGGCTTTCTCCTGCGGGCATTGGCATAGCAGTGGCGCACTTTGCGGAGCTTTCTTTTCCCGTCAGGGTAAGCCTGCTGCTGCAGCGCTTGCCGGCGAGCAGCAGCAGCAGCTGCTGCTTGCGCAGCTGCTGGAGCAGCAGCTCGGGAGCCGTCGCTGCGGACCCGCGCAGGCGCTGCTGCTGAGCTTTCTGCATGCAGCAGCAGCACCCACGCCACGAAATCCACTGGACCTGCAGGCCCTGCGTTTCCATCCTGCGGCCCCCCGCCCGCAGCAGGGGGCCGTCTGCTGCAGCAGCAGCAGCAGCAGCAGCAGCAGTTGCTGCGCTTTCGCCGGCCTCTGTCTGAGCCGTTGTGCAGGTCGTGGTCCCCCACTGGCTCGCACTTTGCCACAGAGAGCACTCTGACCTCTTCACCGAGTCCCCCGAAAGCCTTCTGGAGGTTAGACTCTGCAGCCAGAGCCCTCGCGCTGCTGCTGCCAGGCCTCAGCTGCCCCCTTGTACTTGTCTTCTTCAGGCTCCTGAAAAGGAACAAGTTGTCCTTTTTGAGGGCCTGAAGAAGACAAATGTCTCTCAAGCTTATTTCAAAATCGGAATTTTTCTTCTTCAGGCCCTCAAAAAGGACGACTTGCTGATAGTTCTGCCTGACACTGGCAAGGCCAGCTGGTACCCCAGCAGGTCTCGGCTGAAGAATGCCTTGGGTAAGTCCAGACTTCGCTCATACATATTTCTCGAGCCACGCACTCGAGTCTCAGCCCCCAAGGTCTCTGCAGCTTTTCTTTTAATTTGCACCATTTGATGCATGCACTTGCATGCATCAAACGCATGCAACAGAGGCACCGTTCCGTATTCGATGAAGTTCTGCATGCAGATGCCGAATACACCGTCGAGCTGTGCAAGACATTCAATGCCGTCTACTGCTCGAACGATTTCAACCAGTTTCTGCACCTTCTGGTAGGCTCTTGTGGTGTTTAAATTATCAAATGACTAAATTAAATCCACGTGAAGACCAACACGCAACTAGAGTGTTCCGTCTTCACGCAGGATGGCTCTGCTTCTGGCTACAACGACTACCTGTACATGGCGGCTCGTTCCTGCCTGTTTGCGTTTGACGGCGACGACTTTTACCACATTTTGGACTCTCTCGGTGAGAAATCAGCGCAGATAAATTCATCTATCCAAAACTTCACTGGCTTAAGTGCTGCTAGCTTCTCGCGTGCGGCTCAGCTGAGATCGGGCGTCTTCTGCATACACTGACCATCTGAACGAGCCGCTAGGCACTAAGAGGAATCCCACTGATCACTGAAACAACTCTTGAAATGATAATCGGCTACTGTATCTGCTGTTGGCACCCGGCAGGGCGAGGCAAGTTCGTCGACACGCTCTTCCTCCGCAATAAAACGAATTGAATTGACCTGGCGAGCGCCGCCTGGGAACTGACGGCGTTCACCCGCGATCTGTGGTTGAAAAGATCAGCAAAAGCCATTGCTCAGCAAAACCCATTGAGAAATGACCCGCAGACTCCTTAGCATCTCCTAGCTGTACACATATCTGCACTGACTCGCCACAGCAGGACAAGCAGAGCCCGCAGACCCGGCAAACGGGGCTGTGCATAATAGGCAGCTCCCAGCGAAGCCCTTCCTGCTTCTCCTCTGCAACAAGGGCCTTTGCGGCACTTGAACATAACTGGCATGACGGAAGCACAAGCTGCAGCGCCCTGCACCTACTGAGGCGGAGAGCTGCTGCAGTGAGCGCCGCTGCGCCCAGGCGCTTCTTGAACCCCCAGAATCCCACGTGCCCATCGACGTCCATAAGATCCGCCTCCGTTCCTCTTTACAAGGCTTTCACTGAAAATAAAAAGTAAAAGTATAAATGACACGCGAGATCGCTTTCCTCGACTCAAACTTCCGCAGCTGCTGCCTGAAAGCTGCACAGCTGCAGCGACAGCCCGCAGTCCCAGCAGCTCTCGAAAGGCTCTTACCGTAGAGCGAAATGACAGTTGTCGCTGGCACGCCGGGCCTGTGTCCCATCCGGATGACTTTGTAGGGGTCTGCATGCAAAAAGCCTCGCAAATCCCAATTTTTTTCGATTGCACTCAGCAACAGCCGCCATCAGCAGCCGGGAAGAGCCAAAGTTGCCTCACTGGATTGACTTGCAGCTCGTTGAACCAGACTTTCGATTCCGGTCTCCAACTCCATGCGGAAAGAGTCCAAATCCTGAACAAGAAGCAGCGCTGCAGGAAACCCTGACTGAGGAACTGCGAACTCTGTTTGCTGATCACCGCAAAAAAACCAATTCGACAATTCAAATTCTTCTTTGGTTCAAACGCACTTCAAAGTCTTCCGTCAGAATGGGAATAGCTTCGTCGAAACCCTCCTGAGAAACGCGTTTCGCAGCTCGTAGTGGAAAATCTCAGAAGCAAGAAGCAAACAACTTTTCCGAACTCCCCTTCCCCGAGATAAACATTAATAGACACTTGTGCTTCACTTGGGTGGAAAATCGCAAAAGAAAGAAGCAGCAAATGACTTTTCTAAAACTTCCTTTCCCGAGATATGCAGCGCCAGGCACTCACAGGCTGGTTCAACACAACGGCGACATCCGCGGTGGGGAGGTGGCATAAAACAACACCTAAAAACAGCAACAAAGACACAAAGTTCGTCCAGGTTTTGCATTTGGAATTGCCTTAACACGAAATTGCAAAATAGATATCTCGGGTTGAAATTAAAAAATGGAACTCTCGGTTTCTCAACAGTGCCTGCGCCCCTGCACTGTCTCACCCCGCCCAGTCTTCAAAATTGTTTCGATTTCTTCAGACGCCTCCTCCTGCAATGCAACAAAAACCTCCGCAAAAAAGCAAAAGTTGCGAAGACGGCGATACCACTGCCGTTCCACTTCGCAGAAAAAAGCTTTCCAAACACTTTTCAAAAGCTGGAATGAAATTACGGACCACAGAGCCGACTGTCACTTCCTTCCTCAGCTCTCTGGTGGGTCTTTTGGCCTTCGATCCTCGCGGCAGAGCACGCAGTGGGCTGTACTGGTCCTCCCTGGCCACTGAAAAGCAGCAAAAAGCAAAGAGAAAGGAAGCCATAGGAGGGTTGGAAGCCATGAGGGCAAAGGTGGACTTTCTCATCAAGTAAACTTCGCGAGCAGACTTACACTGCAGCAGGAACTTCCCGTACCCTTCAAGGTTGACCACCTTGAACGGGTTGTGTTCTGCAAAACGCGCAAACCCCGCGGAAACACAAACTGAACTGTCTGCATGCCCAGGCCTTTCACTGCGCATATGGCTTCAATTAATTGATTTTAGATAATGTTTAACAGCACTTCAGCAGCAGTTGAACAACGCCGCGATCAGCTGCTCACCGGTTCCCTCTAGCTCCCTCGCCGGCACCTTCTGCAGAGCCTCTTCGATATATCCCGCGGCCACCGGAGAAAACTCTTTCTGCGACTCGCAGCAAACACGAAAAGGAGAATCCAGTGAGACAAATGCTTCTTTAAAGAAAGCCAGGTTCAGAAAATTCAAAATTCAAGAAAGAAAGCCTTACCCGCAGCGGCCCCAGGGGGTGCGAGTTCAGTTCGTCTTCGGACAGCCACGGGTCCTACGCAGAAAGGAATATCAGTCTAAGTCTCATTCACTTTTTCAAAATGCAGAAACTTCTAAACTGCAAAAACTTCAAATTGACACGCGGAAAGCTGGAAGTTTCTGTGCGCGAAAGTCCTACAGGAACTGCCGTGATCAGAAAGGTGTCGAATTTCCCCGGATGACTGCTCGACGGCCTCCTGAACTCCATTGTTCCTGAAGATCGCAAACAATTTCGAAATAAAAGGTTTAAATTGCACTTGTTTTTTTTTCTGTTTCCACTTTTTCGCCATTTCTCTCTCCAGCTATTCTGAATTCCCTGCAGACCCGCCCCCAAACTCACCGCCGTAAACCACTATGTTCTCGAATATTGCAACTGTGTCCTGTGCAGACCAAACATCAGAACAAGAAAAGAAAAACTTCTTCAATTCCTTCTTTTCAAATAATTCGATTATTCAACTTTGCATGCACTGGAGTTGCAAAATGTCGAAATCTGCAAATGCGGAATTTCTGCACAGGGGCTTCCTGCCCACCGTTTCAGCGAACGAAGTGGGGGAATTGTACCCAGGAGCAGCAGCAGCAGCAGCAGCAGCGGATTGAGCAGCAGAGCCGTCTTTCCAGCGCCGTGACCACTGGACCACATTTTGCGGAAGCTCGAAGTCCTGCTGCTGCGGCTTTGCGTCTCGGAGTTGCTTGGGAAGTTCCCAATCGCCGAACTCCCCGCTGGAGTCTTCTGCTTCTTCATCTGCATCTAAATCTTCTTCTTCTTCTTCCTCTTCTTCTTCTTCTTCTTCTTCTTCTTCTGAACTTTCGTCTTCATCGTAATTTGAATTCAAGTCTGCTTCGGAATCGGAGTTGAAGTCCTCCTCGGTCTCGCGGCTGCTGCTGCTGCTACTGCGCAGCCGCTTGCGCCGCAGCAAGTAGCACGTCAGCACGGCGAAGAGCACTGCAGCAGCAGCAGCAGCAGCAGCAGCACCCTGCGCCTTCGCACGTGAAGACGGCGGGTACAGCACTTGGCCCCGCACGCTGCCTTCGTACTGAACAGCAGGGGCTTCTCCGCGGATGTCCACGTTGAACCACAAGTCCAGCGTGTCTTCTTGTCCCGCCATTCCCGCGGGTTTGCTGCTGCTGCAGCAGCTGCTGCAGCAAACCGCCTCGGGCCACGCAGCCGCCTGCCGCTGCTCCGCGCCTCGCCAGCGAGGGTTTAGGGTTTGCGTTTGGCTCCGCCGCGGCGCGCGCGCCAGACCAGGCGGGCACGCGGGGGAGGAACTAGGGTTTAGGGTTTAGGGTTTAGGGGTAGGGGTTTGCAGCCACAGGCAGGCACGCCGCCCGCCTTCGGCTGCAGAGCGCTGCTGCGCGGCTCCCCACGCGGGCTGCTGCAGTTGGAGGGAGAGAAATGGAACTTTCAGAGAGAAGAATTGGACTTGTTCATTTGATGTTTGCAAAATGGCGGAAAAACAAAAGAAAAGGAAACTTGTGAAGCTCCCCCCCTGCAGCGTCGACGGCAAGTTCAGGTTTCCTGCACCGCGGGGGCTGCGGTGTCCAGACCCCGAAAACGCGCGCGAAAGTGTTTTCTTTTTTATTCAAAATTTCAAAAAGCTGCTGCTAAATGCTTTTGGGAGAGAAACACTGCAGAGAAAGACAGCAGCAGCAGACAGCAGCAGCAGCCTGCTGCTTCCACTCGGGCACTGGCGGCATTCAGGAAAGCTGCACTTCGGGGGCTCTGCTTCGGACTTATGTGGCCAGCCGAGTCGCGGGAAAAGAAATTAAATTGGGAACTTTTGAAAAAATCCAAAAAGAGGTCTGTCTGAAGGATCTGCCGCTGCTGCTGCTGCTGCTGCAGCACGAGATCGTGCTCGATCGTGCTCAGTACAGACGCAAGTCCTGCTTCGTTGCCTCCGATTCGACTTCCAGCTTCAAGAACGACCCCCCCGCCCGCGTTTCTTCTTTTTTTATTTTTTCTTTTTAATTTACAATTAAATTCAACAAAAAGGCTTTTTCAAAACTCAAAACTGGCCAACACAGCCCGTGCAGCTCCCCGGGGGGATGGACCCTCTGCTGCAGTGCCCTTCCAGTGACTTGCGCTGCTGCTGCTGCTGCGCATCCCGGCCCCGTTTCTGCGTCTTTCACTTTCAAATTGCAAGTTTTAAACATTAAACGACTCTTGCAAACTCAAAAAGGCTTTTATTTCCCAACAAGTCCTCTTCAAGGCACCCCCCGGGGCCAGACACAGGTGGATCCCGACACACGGTCACGGACCACGGGAGGCCAGGCCCCATCCCCGCCGCTTGGCCTTTCCCCAGCTCCGACTTGTCTTTTTTTCTTCTTTTTCGTTTAATTGGCATCTAATTAAACCCATTAACAGCTCTCGCAAGACACAATCTAAAAAGCCCCACTCAATTTAGCATCTCCTGCAAAGGCCCCGCAACTAACACCCGAAAGCTCTTTTCAAAAATATGAAATCCAAAAGAGAACACCTTTTGCATGCGCTGCTGCGGGTGGCCCTTAGCCGCCAGGTGTATGGACGCCTGCAAGCCGACACAAACCCCAAAAATGACCATTTCAAGAACTGCTACTTCAAGTCTTAGTAGTTTTGGATATTAAAAGGGTCTTTTCGAGGTGCTGCACTTCTTTTTAATCCCAAAAGATGCAAAAAATCCAAACTTAAGAAAAAAAGAAATTAAATTAAGTAATATGCTGCGCTGTTCAACTTTTGAAACGTTTCGTTCAGCAGCTGTCCGTATACCCTGGCTGTCTTCTGCCGCGCACTTGATCTGGCCTTTGCCCCTCCATTAATGAATTCTTTTAAAATGAATTTAAAATAATTAATTACGAATTTTTATTTAGATTGCAAGACTGCAATTTGTTAAGATTGCAGCTGCGGCGCTGCGGTGTACGCACACTCGAACCCGCCTCCTCTGCCCCCACATCTGCATTTTTCAGGTCTCGAAATTCACTTCATTTTTCCAAAATTCAAAAATAAACTTTTATTTCTCAGCAGCCGCAAAGGCTCTTAAAGTCTTTACGGAGCAGCAGCAGCAGCAGCAGCACCAACAGCACCAGCATCAGCAGCAGCACCAGCACCAGCAGCAGCACCAGCACCAGCAACAAACTTCTTCTTGTTGGGAGGCAGCAGCAAACTCTTTTCTTATTTTTCTCCCGCATGCAACAAATATATTTTTTATTTTCTGAAAATTTTTTTTTGGCCCCCGTGGCGCGGCTCTTCGGGTGTCACTACACCTCTCTGCGGCCCCGCTGCTGCCACTTTTCTGATTTTTGAATTTTTTTTTAAATTCTTTTTCTTTTTAAATTAAGTAAACAAGAAAATAAACTTCTACAGGCGAACAGCAGAGAAGACTGGAGCTGGGGCTGTGTAACACTGAGGAGAGCTGTAGCAGCAGCAGCAGCAGCAACTCCAGCAGCAGCAACAGCAACAGCAGTAGCAGCAGCAACAACACAACAAAAGCAGCAACAGTAGAAACAGCAACAACCCTAAACCCCAAGCCCTAAACCCTAAACCCTAAACCCTAACCCCCTGAAAGGGAACCGCTTTGCCGTTGCTACTTCAGTCCAACAGCTGCCAGTGCGCGCTGCATCCCGCTGCAGCAAGCAGCAGCTTGCTGCTGCAGCGGCAGCTTCCTTCTGCAGGGGCAGCTAGCTGCTGCAGTGGCTGCCCACTGCTGCAGTGGCAGCTGGCCGGTGCAGCAGCAGCTGCAGCAGCAGCTGCAGCACCAAAAAGACGAATTGAACAACAAAAAACATTATTTGCAGCAACAGCGCTCCCTCAGGCAGCAAAAAGTAAAAAGTGGAAAAGTGAAAAGAATGAATTGGCCCTGTTTGGGCTTGGTGTCCAGACAGCATTTAATTATTTGACTTCTTTGTTTTTATTATTTGTTTTATTTTGTTTTTAATTTGATTTCATTTTGTTTTGTTTTGCTTATCCATATTTGACTCTACGTCTGTTTGTTTGGACTTGACTCTATTCATTAGTTCTTCTATGCTCTTTTTATTAATTCACTTTTTTGTTTAGTCCTTCATTTTAAATTAATTTCTATTTATTTATTTGAAGTTGTTTGGCTCCCTTGACGAGGGCAAAGCCCTGTCTTCTGAAGACTAAACCCTAACTCCCAAACCCCACCTGCAACAAACCCTGACCCTAATTGCCAAACCCTCAAACAGAGGTTAGAGCCCCGCAGCCCGTCTAAACCCTAGCAACTACACCCTCGCCCTAAACCCTTGCCCTAAACCCCTAAACCCTCGCCCTAAACCCTCGAATTAAAGGCTCCCTCGGGATGGCAGCAGTGCCCACCAGCACTCGCCAGCGATTCTGCGTTGCGTGGAGGTTTTAGAATTCATTTTGTATTTAAAATAAATGCAAAATGACACACTTGGATTTGAAAAAGTGCAGAACGGAGTGCAGGCGGTTTGTGCAAGAGTGTGGAGTGTACGTACACTGCAGCAGGCTGTGCAGTTCCGGAACTGATCAGCTCGCGAGGCGCGGATGTGTTCATTTTCGTTATTAGTAGGAGGCGACAAGAGAAACAAAGCAATTCTTTGGCATTTTAGCATCTCTTTTGCATTTTAAGAGAGAAAAGGAGTTCTTTTTGCGGGCAGTGGGTGCGCAATCGAGCTGTTCAGCTTTCCGTGATCGCAGCAGCAGGTGTGTTGGCTGCTCGCGGCGACTCCGCGGCGAAGCTGCCTCTGGGGAGGCGCAAAGAACACAACTCGCGGCTGAAGTGTATTTATTTATATTTTTTTTCAGAAAAGGAGTTGGGGCGGCGGCGGCAACGGGGTGAGCGGCTCTGGTGCATAGAGGCGCCGGGCGCTCGCGGTGCGGCTGCGGCGGTCTGGGGCTGCGACTGAGCCGCCTTTGCAGGTTTTCAGGACATTAAACAGAGTTTTTTGCACATTTTTGCAAAAAGATTCTGCAAGTGCTGCTGGTTTCGAGAGACAACGGCGAACTGGCGCTTCCCGCCCCGGCGGCAGCAGCTGCTGGCCCGGCGGCGCCCGCGACAGCAGACAGCTGCAGCATGCGCGCAGCAGCTGCTGCTCCCGCCTTTTGTGTCTTTTCCTTTTCGAAACTTCGAAACTCTTTCCTTTTTCACTGACCAAATCTCCAAACTCCCCCCCGAACCTGCAGCGGGGGTGGGGCCCCACGGACTGTGCCAGCTCGCCTCCGCCTGCGCCCCTTCGGCCGCCGCCGCTGCTGCTGCTGCTGCTGCTGCTGC